TTATTTCTCTTGACAAAAATCATTCCTATAGAAAAATATATTTCAGAATTTTGAAAATAAAATTTGACATAATCTTACAACAACCTAATCAGCAGTTTTTTCCTTTCATCTCAATTGTCGTAGATTTCACATCTGTGGTACATGGGAAATCTCTCACCAAAGTACCCTTAGAAGTCTTGGTTTAATTAGAAGATCATTGGTTGTTTTCTTTCTACTTATATTCAATTTTCACAATGAGAAAATTGTTCAGACCTTAATAATTGCCGTTGCCCCTGTCCGTCGGTCCGTTGGTCATTCGATCCGTCAACATTTTCTTGTGAACACCATAGAGACTAAAGTTTTTATCTGATTTTAATGAAACTTGTTGTGATAATGTATGTTGATGAGATCTTGGTCAAGTTCGAATTTGAAGATTTTTTGATGAACTGTTTTTGAGTTTTTGCCCTCGACACAATAGGGACTACAGTTTTCAAATGATTTTAATGAAATTTGGTGTGATCATTTATATTGATGAGATCCCGGTCAAGTTCGAATTTGAAGATTTTTTGATGAACTGTTTTTGATTTCGGGGAAGGGAGGGTTTGATTCTCCCAAATGTACAGGCCTAGGGTGGAGCAGACACTTTATTTAGAAATTAGGATTAAGGGTCTTGACATTGGGTTTTCTTCTGTTCTTATTCTGATCTGAAATTAGAAAAAATAACTCGCCCGATGGGCGAGAAGTATAGTATATGTTATGTGCTGATTGTTTTTAGTTTACTATGCACAATATTATCATTTAAGTTCTTATTTTTTGAATATGCAACTATCATTTTCTGCTTATAGACATAGGGGAATTTCTCTTGAAGGCTCTTATAGTGGGCATGAACTATCTTGCTTGCTCGATTGCTGGTTGTATTAAACGGGACAACAAAGGGTGCTATGCCTACATTATGATGAATATTTAGTCCTATAAGTCTTGCTGTATTCAATGTCTCAATCCAATGGGCTTCCCTAGATTGACGGAATTTGGTAGTGGACTTTTTTTATGTTTCGTAAAAATCGTTTAGAGTACCCACGCTCTTTCAGTTTTGAGAAAACAATCGTACAGGCTTGGTTGAAATCAGAAGATCTTGTACAAATTCGATGAAATCGTAAAACCTGTGACTTAATTATACCAGAAAAGGTATGTTTTGGGTGAAAGGAGCTCTTGTGCAAGAGTTGATGAGTATCAGTTTCTTTGAAATACACTTTAATATCCAGTTTATTTGTTTCTGCTATGGAATCTCCCTTAAAGACTGTGGTATCGATAAAGTCTATGCTTTTGTCACTCACTTTTGCGGTTAGTTTGATAGAAGGATGGTGGTTGTTGAGAATTTCAAAGAATTCCCAAAACTGTTCGATAGAATAAGTCCAAAACATAAAAATGTCATCTAAAAAGCGTCCGTAAAAAAGTGGGTCAAATGGACAGAGGGGCAACACCTCACGTTCCCACTCTGCCATGAAAAGGTTTGCGTACGAAGGGGCGAATCGTTTTCCCATTGCTGTCCCTGAAGTTTGTAAATATGTTTTACCATTAAATGTGAAATCGTTTCGACTAAGACAAATCTCTAAAAGCTGTAGAATTGCATCATCGGGTCTGTTTGGATCTGGGTTTCTATTAAAAGCTTTACGAACTGCCGTTAAACCAGTAGTGTTATCGATATTGGTATACATAGAAGAAACGTCGATAGAAATTAAAATAGCATTAGAGGGAACTCGAAGATTTTTTATTTTATTGACAAAATCGGTTGTGTCTTTAAGGTAGGCGCGATGTTGACATGCTAGAGGTATAGATAAGATATGCTGTTGCATATGGACTCCATCATCATGTTGTTGATAATCTGAGGTTCTCTTGTGTTTTCTTCGAGATTTTATTTGAAATGGGTATACATGT